GGCCCGGGCTGGGGATTCGAACCCGCCACCTTAGGTGTATGTGGCTGGTGCCTTAGCCGCTTGAGCCACAGGCGCCGAGCCGGTTACACATATTTCATCAGAATTTTTTTTCCTGGATTCAATATATAATTTATTCAGAGAGCAAAACATGAAGTTTTGCATCCCAACTGAATTAATATGTCATTTTAATATAAATTGAATTTTTCTTGTCTTTTTTTTTGAGACTCTATAATCCTCAGTAGAGTGCCGTGGTATCACACAGCTCACAGCAACCTCCAACTCCTGGGCTTAGGCGATTCTCTTGCCTTAGCCTCCCGAATAGCTGGGACCACAGGCACCCGCCACAATGCCTGGCTATTTTTTTGTTGCAGTTTGGCCAGGGCTGGGTTTGAACCCGTTACCTTTGGTGTATGGGGCCAGCGCCCTACCCACTGAGCCGCAGGTGCCGCCCTGCGTTTTTCTTATATAAGAATGTGAAGAGTTTATGTTCACCTGACAGACACCTGTAGACTATGTCTCACTGAGGGTGGAAAGTAGCAAAGAGGAAGAGGAAGTGCTCTTTCTCCCTGCCACTGTCTCCATGTGTCAGCGAGCTGCGGGCCAAGCCAGTCATGAGGTGCCCTTGTGTACACACACACACACACGGGCACAGGAGTCTGCTTAGGAAACGTCACTACAGGTTTCGTGGTGCTCAGACTATGATGCACACATGCACAGACTAGCATGCATACAAGCACATGCTAGACTGTTCTCGGACCAGAGGTACATATTAAACACAAGCCTCCCCCAACTGTAGGAGCTTTTAATCTAGTTTAGAACTAGGGACTTCTCCATAGTAGAAGGATAGCTAAGGAACAACAAAAATGTTAGATTTTCAATGAATTACATGGACAGTGACAAATTAGAACTTTAAAACTAGCCAAAGACAACTTCCTGTCTGGTAAATTTCCTGTAGAAATGAGATTTGGCTGGGGAGGCCAGGCACGGGGGTTCATCCTGTATTCCTAGCACTCTGGGAGGCCAGGGTGGGTGAATGGCCTAAGCTCATAGGTTTGAGACCAGCCTGAGCAAGAGCAAGACCCCTTCTCTAAAAATAGCTGTGCCTCATGGTGCGCCTGTAGTCTCAGCTATCTGGGAGGCTGAAGCAAGATAACTGCTTGAGCCCAGGAGTTGGAGGTTGCTGGGAGCTGTGACGCTGTAGCACTCTGCCAAGGTCAACGGAGTGAGACTCTATCTCAAAAAAAAAAAAAAAAGATTTGGACCTGGGTCTTGGATAATAATGCATAGATTTAAAGTAACAAACAGGAAGAACATTTCAGGTTAGAATACCATGAGTAAGTGCACAAAGGATGTGTAAGTGCCAGGTAACTTTAGGAGGCTTAGAGATCTCTGGGTCAGAGGTGGGAGGAGACACCACAGAGCTGGACTCTAGGAGCTGTGCTGTCCTTGTTGTCAAGGGAATGGTCACCAAAGATTTTTAGGCAGGTGATATGAAAAAAGAGTGTTTTGGGAACTGCTGGCCATCTGTAGGACGTGTGCAGAGGCGGAGGAGGAGGCAGGAGGGGTGACAGGAGACAAGGGACGCGGCAGTGAGGAGGGACTGGGAGGTGATTCACTGCATAGGGAGAAATGTTAGCATGTGTAATGAAAATATTTTATAATTTTATAATCTCAGTGTTTCTCTTACTATGTACTTCAGTATTTATGGGAAGTTTATGGGGAAAATAGTGAGATCACTTATTGAGTGGCTTTGGTTTTAGTAGCATATGTGGGGATATAGTTTTAGTGTAACAAGTTTGTGGTAAGAAGTCTTTTCTTTCTAAAGGATAAACTGGTTCTGTTCAGACTGGTTCTGATGTGTCAGGACCTTCCTGTCTTTCCTGGCGACTCCCTGCTTACTGCTGCTGGTCCTCCCACAGTGCCAGGTCTTCAGGGAAATTAAAAAGTAACTCCACACACAGGGACCCATGTTGGTCAGGACAGAAGTTTGGCCACTCTGGTAGAGCCCCAGAATGGTGCCTGAGGGAGCCAGACAGGAGTTTGACCTGTGATGTAACCGCAGGTCGGCCACTGGGGTCACTTGGCAGCTCCATGGTATTGGCCCCAGGCGCCTGCGCTGTTCCCAGGGCTCCCCAGTTACTGTGTTCATTTCAGGACGGCTGATGTTCACGGCCATATTCTGACCAGCGAAGCAGGAGGGTGCTGTCTGGAAGGTGTGCCCATCGTGCACTCTTCATCCTGTGGGAGGGACTCAGCCACACTTGGGGCAGACGCTGCTGTTTACTCTGGGCAGCCATGTTCTGGATTCTGTCACTGTGGGAGAAAAGGAGAGACGGATACTGGAGAATCCCAGCCATCTCTGCCGTGGAGTCCCACTAGCTAAACCAGCAATTTTTTGAACTTGTTGGCTCTGCAATTTCTCATTCACAAGATGTAAAAGAGTAACTTTGGTAATAGTACTTAGGTACATTACAACAGGAATTTTTGAATCTGTTAATGTTGCTCACTTCTATACAAGAAGTAAAACTCACATCCTGTTTTTGGTAGGCTGTGAACTGTGAATCATCCCAGGTATTTGCCTTCTCTCACCAGCAAAAACATCTTCTCTCCTTCATAAGATACTCTAAGCTATTTTCAGGTAGTATATACCATGTCTGACAATTAAGTTTGTGAATTCATCCCAGAAAGTGCTATATACGTGATTGCTAAAAGTCACTTCACTGCGGTCACCTTCTAAGTGCCCCCCTTGAAAAGCTATGCCCATGCCAGTGCCCTGTCCACCCTTCAAAGCAGTGTGGGAACTCTCTTTCTGGAATGACCATCGAGCTGTCATCATGTTACCCGTGATGTCCTGTATGTCATCGAAATGTCTTCCCTTCAGTATTTCTTTTATCGTCAAGTAAAGAAAGAAGTCATGGGGGCCAGATGAGTTATTTGTTTCCTGGCTACAAACCCCGTCAGGGACGGCACCCCACGAGCTGGTGCACTGTCGTGATGCAAGGGCTGCCAGTTGGCAGAGTCTTCAGTCGGGCTCTTGACTGCTCTGTCTGTTTACTTGATCCACTTCTCACCGCAGATGACTTTGAGGCACAGTGGGGAGTTTGGCAGTGTTTTCCTCAGTTCTGCTTGGTACTGGGCACCCTGAGCTGGCTTTATCAGTGACACTTTCTCTCCCTCAGGAAAAAAACGTTTAATCTGTTTGTACACTGCCATTTTTTTCATGGACTAACATATCCCTGTTTCACTGCCAGTCTTGCTAAGTTTAACAAGAAATTTAATGTTTTTGATTGCTAATTCAAACTCTGCCATTTCTTGTGATGGCACACATGCTGAACGCCGCTCAGCAAGACTCCACCACAGGTCAACACAAACACAGCTGTGTGACACTGACATGTTCACACGTGCTGCCGATGGGAGCACATGGTGGCAGGTTTGTGAACTTAATTGTAGACCTTGTACATCGCTATGTTAATAGAAAACCTTTGAACCAAAGCTGTCAATACACATTTCCTGGGACAGCTTGAGGAGTGGACCCTTAAGGGCTGAAGCTGTGGCAGTGGTGGCTAAGTGGGAGGGCCTGTCCCTGTGCAGGCTTTTCAGAGTCACATCAGGTTATGAGTGTGACACAATAGGGACAGTGTCCTGAAGTCATAGCACCAGGTCCCCGACTGTGTTGGCAGGTGTTCTGAGTGGGTGCAGCTCTGTGAAAGCCACTCGAGGTTATTGGAAGGAGCAGTTTTCAGTTTACTTGTTTTGAGGCTATTTCTTCTCATTGCTCCTAAATTGGTGACTTTTGCCTATGGAGATAGTCCTGAGAATTTCCTTAAAGTGGTTGCTGGTTGATTCACAGTTCCATTGGGCAGGGCAGTGTGGTTGGGTGTCCTGCCTCATTCTCGGTGGTCCTCCCAGCCTCACTTGGTGGAGCACTTTCCTGCCTGCTTCTCCCGTGGAACTGGGATACTGTGCATGGTGGGGCGAATGAGCACATGGCTCCCGCGTCTGCGTTTCCAAATGCTCAGACACTAGAGGTGCTTGTCTTCACAGGTCTTGGTTAAACAGGTAACACAGGGCACAGACCGGCCTCACAGCCAAACACTTGAGTTAGTAAAGTGCATTTGCTGCTCATTTTATGTGACTTGGCAAAGGAATTTTGATGATGCAAAAGCACACAAAACTTAAAAATTTAACATGTCTACTGAGGCTTTCTTCGGAATTTCTTATTTGTCATGTACTCTTAGTTCCATTCCCTGTTGTCCACATGAGAACTATCACTTTTTATGCCTACTCCCTACTGGGTACTGCCTTCACTGTTGCTTCAATTCTGTGGGGAAGGTATTGTGAGCCCCATGCAATAGAAAACTGGGTCATGAAGATGAATGTGCTTGCTTACAGGTGACCGCTTCTGAGTGCTTGAGGATTTAGGGGGGAAGTTTCTTTGGGTTCTGTGCTATTGTCTGAAAACATTAAGAGATGTAGGGGTGGAAAGTGGACAGGGAGCAGGGAGCACCTTGTCAGAGGCTGGGAATTACAGAACTGTTTGTGAGTTTCAAGACTAACTTATTTTTAATACAATATAAATAAAAGGAACAGTTTTATAACTATAATAGATACACCTTTATACTGTGTATTGTCATTAACTGCAGATCTTTCAGAGAGTTAATTATTTTATATGCTTCTCTAAAATCAGATTTATCAAAATTTCACCTTTTTGAAGACATCCTTATTCTTTCCAGCTAGAATTAAGGATTCCTGCTATATATTTATATATAAATAAAGCAATTTACCACATCCCGTACCCCACGTGCTGCCTTAGGGAACCTTCCTCTTGGAGGGTGGCGACTGTGTGTTCACCTGCATTTCTCTTACTGTTTATAAAATGTGCACTATTTAGGTGGATTCTAAGTAAAAGAACCCTTAAAAATGTCATGCTTATTTATACAGAGAGAAATTCATATAATGTATATGCAGCAGAAGTAGGAGGGAAGTAGCTGAGGTGGTTGTCGAAGACCTTTGCCCTGACAGAGTAGCTGTGTGTCGCAAAGCTTGCTATGTCCAGCGAGAGGGGAGGCTCGACGTCTGCCACAGTTAAAATTTTGGAAATTTTTTTGTTCCCTTCTTTTTTAGAGACATTAGAAGAAATGGACAGTGAGTTGCTCAAGTGTGAATTCTGTGGGAAAATGGGATATGCTAATGAATTTCTGCGGTCAAAACGCTTCTGCACCATGTCATGTGCCAAAAGGTATTTATGTGCCCTTGAGCTGCCTAAGGACAGACCATTAGTCACAGCAGCAGAATTAAAAAAAAATACCCTCTATAGTTTCCCAGTAGTCAAACCTAGATATATAATGTGGAAGAATAAGGTTAGGTAGGCATTATCTGGAACAATCCTAATATAAAATCTAATAATACATATTATATAACACTTATAAATCAGTTTTACAGTATAATCTAATATTAAAGTAGCAATCTCCTGGTGGTAAGAATATGCTTAGAAGAATCTCTTTAGTGAAATGATCAGGATATTATAGAATACTAATTAAAGTTTTGTTTTTTTTTTAAACACAGTCTCACTTGTTGCCCTTGGTATAGTGCCCTGGTGTCACAGCTCATAGGAACCTCAAACTCTTGGGCTTAAGTGATTCTCTTGCCTCAGCCTCCCCAGTAGCTGGGACCTGGCTATTTTTTTAGAGATAAGGTCTCTCTCTGGCTCAGGCTGGTCTTGAATTCCTGAGCTCAGACAGTCCACCGGCCTCAGACTCCCAGAGTGCTAGGATTATAGGCATGAGCCATTGCGCCCGGCCCAGGTTGATTATTTTGATATTTTTTCTCTGTTTAACAAAATGATTATTCTAAGAATTTAAGGTCTTAATTATATAAATCCAGAGAATTTCTTGCTTGAATATTTTCTTGAATTTCCTAGTTTGCATGTACTGTAAGAGCAGTGAATCTCTGATTCTCAGTATTAAAAAACTCTGAAAACTTGGGAAAAGGACTGCCTTTCAGGGCATTTTAAATTTCTTGACTGTTTAGAAGTATTTCAGGACATTTAATGCTGTCTGAGTTATCACAATGTTATTCTTTTAGGGGAGCCTGGTTAGCAGGCTGGGTGCTGACGGAGGTGTGGATGAGAGGGAAAGGCGGGCAAGAGCTGCTGTCGGTAATCTGCTCACCTGTCTCAGGTGGCTGATTATTTAGGGACTAAATACCACGTGTAAAGCTATTTTTCTCTCTGCTCTTGTCTCAATGGGGAAAGAAGTTTTGTCAGTTGATATAAGTGGAATCAGAAACCTACATTACTGAGCGCACAGATGACATGCACACAGTGAGCACAGCAAGAGCTTGTTGGATTGTCACAAGTCATAGAGGAAAAGGGAGTGGCCTTCAGTCCTGGGGAAACAGCCTACTCATTCCCATAGTACTCCTTATTTCTACCTCTTGATAGTTTAATAAAAGGAGGAAACGACATTTGGTGTCCCTATCCTAGTCCTAAAATAGGGTGTCAGTAGCAATGTTAATTGGGATGTATTTGTATACTTATAGCAAAAAAGTTTTTAAAATAAGTTACAGGGCTCGGCGCCTATAGCTCAACCAGCTAAGGTGCCAGCCACATACACCTAAGGTGGCGGGTTCGAATCCCCAGCCCGGACCC